GAATTTCATATGTATATGAGAGGTACGTAGAGCAATAGTGCACTGCAGCCTTGAACCCCTGGGCTCAAGAAGATCCTCCCACCTCAGCCTCTCAAGTAGCTGTGGTGTGTGCCACCTTTCCAGGCTCCTGTGGTTTTCTGAAGAAGAAGCCTCAACGAGTTTCCAAGTGTTACCTTCTGCTTGTTCACACTTCCTGATGCAGTGGTCTCCCCTAATCCTGAAATTTTTTACAAAAAGAGGGTGGTATAGCTGCCTCAGAGCCAAGAAAATGAACATTCTTTCAAGGCCTGGGCTTTTATGCGGCTGTCTCTGACAACTGAAGTGTCTTAAGGGAGTGATGGGTTAGTGGCACTCAGGAACTGGTTGAAAATGCAGATTCTCAGGAACCACCTTATTTTCCAAGCTCGTGATTAGATCGATACGATCAAATCTCGAGCCAGGGGGTCAGAAAGTGTAACTTTGTTTCAGCTGAACAAGCTTGGTTTTTTTTCTTTTTTTTTTTTTTTTTTTGAGACGGAGTTCGCTCTGCGCCGCAGGCTGATTGCATGGCCGCGATCTCAGCTCACTGCAAGCTCCGCCTCCCGCCCGTTCGACGCCATTCTCTGCCTCAGCCCCAGTACTGGACTAACAGGCGCCCGCCACTCTCGCCGCTAGTTATTATTAACTCTTTTTAGTAGAGCACGCGGCGCGCGCGCGCGCGTTTCACCGCTGCTCAGCCAGGCGACTGGTCCGGATCTCCTGACGATCCGCCGCCTCCCATCAATAGATGCTGGGATTACAGGCTTGAGCCACGTCCGCGCGCCCTTTTTTTTTCTTTTTTCTTTTTTTTTTTAAGACAGAGTCTCACTGCAAGCCATCAGCCTCCAGGTTCGAGACGTGCCGCATTTTTTCTGCCTCAGCCCTCCCAGACTATGCTGGAATACACAGGCACCGATGGCACTACGAACTACTAATTTTGTTTTTGTATTTTAGTAAGAGACGGGTTGTCACTGTATTAAGCCAAGATGGTCTCAATCTCCATGACCATCATGATCCGCCTGCCTTGGCCTCCCCAAAGGTGCTGGGATTGACAGGCATGAGCCACCACGCCCAGCCCTGCTTTTTTTTCATGTACAAAAGCACAAAGAGTTTACCTGATGTTTTGAGTGCTTTTGTTCATGCCAGCTCCTGAGTCAAGAGTTTGTTTCTTCTCTCAGGAAAACAATTGTTTATCTTGTCCCATTCAGACAGTTTTGAAATGCAGTTTTCTTCGTCATGTCTACATGAGGTGAAAAATTCCTTGTTGGTTTTTTTTTAAGCTTCTTAATGGCTCTGTCTTTTTAAAAAGTAACTTAAAATGAATGTTATATAAATATATATTGAAAATTTAGTTTTCTCTGTACTTTCACCTCTTAGAGTGTTTGTTATACAGTTGAGCATTAGTTGCCCTTTTTGTTTCATACATTTGTTGCCTATCTGATGTACGTAACCAAATCTTAGAGAAGGGATCATTTATTATTAACTCGTAACAAATGAATTAGTGTATATTGATTCTCTACCATGTGCAGTCACATATGATCTCAATTTACTTACTATTGACAACTCATCTATATTCATCATAGGATAATAAGAAATACTGGCCGGGCACGGTGGCTCATGCTTGTAATCCCAACCCTTTGGGAGGCCGAGGTGGGCAGATCACTTGAGATCAGGAATTTGAGACCAGCCTGGTCAACATGGAGAAACCCTGTCTCTACAAAAAAAATACAAAAATTAGCCAGGCATGGTGGCGGGCACCTGTAATCCCAGCTACTTAAGAGACTGAGGCAGGAGAATCGCTTGAACCTGGGAGGTGGAGGTTGCAGCGAACCAGGATGGCACCACTGCCCTCCAGTGCAACAGAGCCTTGGCAACAGAGCAAGACTCCATCTCAAAAAAAAAAAGAAGAAGAGAAATATTAATCTTTCTAGTTGCATTCACCAGGAATGAGTTTTGGATTTCTTCTATATTCCAGATCCCTTTAAGATGTACCATGATGATGACCTGGCAGATTTGGTCTTTCCCTCCAGTGCAACAGCTGATACTTCAATATTTGCAGGACAAAATGATCCCTTGAAAGGCAGTTACGGTATGGCTTCTCCAAATGGATTTATTCTGTAGGGAAGGAAAAAAAATTTTTTCTTTACTCATCTTTGGTTTACTAACTAGGGCTCTATGACAAAAGATTGATTAGCAAGAAAAAAGAGACCAAAGTTTAACATGTGAATTTCATATGTATATGAGAGGTACGTAGAGCATGAGTAACTCTGCAAGAGGTGGCTTTAGAATTCCACCTTATATAGCTTCTTCAATAAAGAATGACAATTTTTTTTTGAGAAGTGAGAAGATGAAGGAAAAAAGACTTTTGATTCTGTAGAGGGGCCGCAAATTGTGGGAGACAAGTAAATAGTAGGTAAAAGCTAGTTAGTAAAGGTTGCTGTGTAGATTCCTATGGTGCCATCTCCAGGCTAATAATAGCCTTCAGCTTAAAAAAGTCCTTATGCCAAAGTAGCATATTTTGGGGTGGTTTATTCTGGTCTGCTTTAGTTGTTTAATGCCAAACAATCAACGTGGCCTTTCACACATCACCTTTTAAGTTAACCACTAAGAAAAGTTAGACTTAGGGGCTCTGGGTATGACAAGGCTCTCTTTGGATTAATCAAAGGAGACAATTCACAGATTCACAGTTGGGCTGTGATCTCTCCTTTTTTTTGAGACAGTGTCTGACTCTGTCACCCAGGTTGGAGTGCGGTGATGCAATCATGGCCCACTGCAGACTTGGCCTCCTGGTCAGGTGATCCTCCTACCTCAATCTCCTGAGTAGCTGGGATTACAGGTGTGTACCACTATGCCTGGCCAATTTTTTGTAGAGAGGGGGTTTTGCCACGTTGCCCAGGCTGGTCTTGAACTCCTGGGCTCAAGTGATCCACCTGCTTTAGCCTCCCAAAGTGCTGGGATTACAGGCGTGAGCCTTTGCACCCAGCCACATTTGTCTACTTCTTCATTTACAGCTGGACACCGTGGCTTATACCTGTAACCCCAGCCCTTTGGGAAGCTGAGGCGAGAGAATTGCTTGAGCCCAGGAATTTGAAACCAATCTGGGCAACATAGGGAGATCCTGTCCTACAAAAAATTTTAAAATTCAGCCAGACATGGTGGCACATACCTGTAGTCTCACCTACTCAGAAGGTTGAGGTGGAAGGATTGTTTGAGCCCAGAAGGTCGAGGCTGCATTGAGCCGTGATCATGCCACTGTACCCCAGCCTGGACAACAGAGTTGAGACCTTGTCTTTAAAAAAAAAAAAAAAAAATCTGGGTGCAGTGGCACACGCCTGTAATCCCAGCACTTTGGGAGGCCAAGGCAGGTGGATCACTTGAATCCAGGAGTTCGAGACCAGCCTGGCCAAAATGGTGAAATCCCGTCTCTACTGAAAATATAAAAATTAGGCTGGGCATAGTGGCTCATGCCTGTAATCCCAGCACTTTGGGAGGCAGAGACGGGTAGATCACCTGAGGTCAGGAGTTTGAGACCAGCCTGGCCAACATGGTGAAACCCCATCTCTACTAAAAATAGAAAAATTAGGCCAGGTGTGGTGGCTCATGCCTGTAATCCCAGCACTCTGGAAGGTGGAAGTGGGCAGATCACCTGAGGTCAGGAGTTCGAGACCAACCTGGCCAACATGGTGAAACACTGTGTCTACTAAAAATACAAAAATTAGCTGGACGTAGTGGCGGACACCTATAATTCCAGCTACTCTGGAGGCTGAGGTAGAAGAATCACTTGAACCCAGGAGGCGGAGGTTGCAGTGAGCTGAGATTGTGCCATTATGCTCCAGCCTGGGCAATGAGTGAGACTGCATCTCAAAAATAAATAAATATAAGAAAAATAAGAAAACTAGCTGGGCATGGTGGCGCATGCCTGTAATCCTAGCTACTCGGGAGGCTAAGGCAGGAGAATCACTTGAACCTGGGAGGTGGAGGTTGTAGTGAGCTGAGATCATGCCACTGCTGCAGCCTGGGCAACAGAGTGAGACTCCATCTCAAAAACAACAACAACAACAAAAACCTATTACAAAGTATTTTAATAAAATTGTCTTCTAATGTTGGAAAGGGAAGTGTTAATCTCATTTTGCAGATGAAGAAATTAAGACGCACAATTTTTTACTATAGTATATTATGTTGGTTATGGTGTTGGAATTAGAGTTGAATCATTAATATTTTGAATCTTTATATTACCCTGTAGAAGGTAGCCAATGAATGTTGATTAATGGCACTACTGGGATATACGATACCACCTACTAACAACTAGCTAAAACCTGAAGAATATCAGCATTGTTTCCTTTAAAACTTGTTTGCATTGTTGGCCAGGCACAGTGGCTCACACCTGTAATCTCAGCACTTTGGGAGGCCAAGGCAAGTGGATCACAAGGTCAGGAGTTTGAGACCAATGTGGCCAACATAGTGACACCCCATCTCTATTAAAAATGCAAAAAAAATTAGCCAGGTGTGGTGGTGTGTGCTTGTAATCCCAGCTACTTGAGAGGCTGAGGCAGGAGAATGGTGTGAACCCGGGAGGCGGAGGTTGCAGCGAACTGAGATCGTGCCATTGCACTCCAGCCCAGGCGACAGTGTGAGACTCCGTCTTAAAAAAAGAAAAAAACTTTTTTTGCATTGTTTTTTATTAGTCTGTGTCTGCCTGGCAATATATGCTGCTGATTTTAAATATGAGATACCTTTTGTTTCTAGTGTTTACTAAGTTTCCAGATGTGTTTGTGTTTTAATATTAGGTATGTCTCCTTGCAACACAGCTGTTGTACCTCAGGGGTGGTCTGTGGAAGCCTTAAACTCTCCACACTCAGAGTCTTTTGTTTCCCCGGAGGCTGTTGCAGAACCTCCTCAGCCAACAGCAGGTAAAATATTAGAGACTCCCTTTATCAGTTGATGGTTGCAGTATTGGTAATCAATATAAATCATCAGGTGTATTTTTTAGCAGCTTACAGCAGGTATAAAAATTTCAGAACTGTCACATATGTTTTGCTTATATTAGTGATATCACCACTGGAGGAATTAAATTGTTAAACTATAACACTTAGGGTTAATGGGCAAATAAATATATATATATTTTAACATATATATATTTAAACATATGTGTATATATATTTTGTTTCATCACATTTTCATTGTATTAGGTATCAGAATTTCTTTTTAATTCAGTACAGATTTTTGGCCTGGTGTGGTGGTTCACACCTGTAATCCCAGCACTTTGGGAAGCTGAGGCAGGCAGATCACTTGAGGTCAGGAGTTCTAGACCAGCCTGGCCAACATGGTGAAACCCCATTTCTACAAAAAATACAAAAATTGGGCCGGGCATGGTGGCTCACGCCTGTAATCCCAACAATTTGGGAGGCCAAGGTGGGCAGATCACCTGAGGTCAGGAGTTCGAGACCAGCCTGGCCAACATGGTGAAATCCCATCTCTACTAAAAATACAAAAAATTAGCTGGGCGTGGTAGCAGGTGCCTGTAATCCCAGCTACTAGGGAGACTGAGGCAGGAGAATCACTTGAAACCGGAAGGCAGAGGTTGCAGTGAGCCAAGATCGTGCCACTGCACTCCAGCCTGGGTGAAAGAGCTAAATAAATCAATAAATAAGCTCGGCGTGGTGGTGTGTACCTGTAATCCCAGCTACTAGGGAGGCTGAGACAGGAGAATCGCTTGAACCCAGGAGCCAAGATCATGCTACTGCACTCCAGCCTGGGCAACAGAGTGAGACCCCATCTTAAAAAACAAAAAAATTCAGTACAGATTTAGAACTCTGGGGTGTTTCTTGATAAGAAGCATGACTGACCTGCTGTCCCACAGATGTTGTAATACTAATTCTGTGCCTATGTTATTTTTTGAAGCCTGTGTTTTCTCTCTTCTTTGCCTTTTCTCCTCCACTACTTGTCCTCCCAGTATTTTACATGTTATTCTTCCAAGTGTTGCGACTGTCAGAGATTAGGCAGAATATGTTACTTGACGTTAGCTTCTTTTTTTCATTTATTTATTTATTTATTTTGAGACGGATTCTTGCCCTGTCCCCCAGGCTGGACTGCAATGCTGCAATCTTGGCTCACTGCAAACTCCGCCTCCCGGGTTCTAGCAATTCTCCTGCCTCAGCCTCCTGAGTAGCTGGGATTACAGGCGCCTGCCACCAAATTTCTGTATTTTTAGTAGAGACAGGATTTTACCATGTTTGTCAGGCTGGTCTCGAACTCCTGACCTCAGATGATCCATCCGCCTCGACCTCCCAAAGTTCTGGGATTACAGGCGTGAGCCACTGCACCCGACCTAACATTAACTTCTTGGTTATGTGTACAGTCTTATGGTCACAAAAGCCAAATACTTTTATGTCTGAAGAAAGTAAGCATTTTTAATGCAAAGGTATGAGTAGACAATGATATGTCCTAAATTTTCAATTTATTTCCCTTAGAGGTAGCCAAGGAGATAGAAATGGCATCAGAAGAAGAGAGGCCAGCAGCACAAGCGTTGGAAATAATGATGGGACTGAAGACTACTGACATGGCACTATCTAAAGAAACAGAGATGGCTCTCGCCAAGGACATGGCACTAGCCACAAAAACAGAGGTGGCATTGGCTAAAGATATGGAATCACCCACCAAATTAGATGTGACACTGGCCAAGGACATGCAGCCATCCATGGAATCAGATATGGCCCTAGTCAAGGACATGGAACTGCCCATAGAAAAAGAAGTGGCCTTGGTTAAGGATGTCAGATGGCCCACAGAAACAGATGTGTCTTCAGCCAAGAATGTGGTACTGCCCACAGAAACAGAGGTAGCTCCAGCCAAGGATGTGACACTGTTCAAAGAAACAGAGAGGGCATCTCCTATAAAAATGGACTTGGCCCCTTCCAAGGACATGGGACCACCCAAAGAAAACGAGATAGACCCAGCCAAGGGTTTGGTATTACTCTCAGAAATAGAGGTGGCACAAGCTAACGACATTATATCATCCACAGAAATATCCTCTGCTGAAAAGGTGGCTTTGTCCTCAGAAACAGAGGTAGCCCTGGCCAGGGACATGGCCCTGCCCCCGGAAACCAACGTGATCTTGACCAAGGATAAAGAACTGCCTTTGGAAGCAGAGGTGGCCCTAGTCAAGGACATGGCTCAACTCCCAGAAACAGAAATGGCCCTGGGCAAGGATGTGGCTCCGTACACAGTAAAAGAAGTGGGCTCATTGAAGGACATGTCTCCACTGTCAGAAACAGAAATGGCTCTGGGCAAGGATTTGACTCCACCTCCAGAAACAGAAGTAGCTCTCATCAAGAACGTATGTCTGCCTCCAGAAATGGAGGTGGTCCCGACTAAGGATCAGGTCCCAGCCCTCAAAACAGAAGCACCCCTGGCTAAGAATGGGATTCTGACCCTAGCCAACAATGTGACTCCAGCCAAAGATGTTCCACCACTCTCAGAAACAGAGGCAACACCAGTTCCAATTAAAGACATGGAAATTGCACAAACACAAAAAGGAATAAGTGAGGATTCCCATTTAGAATCTCTGCAGGATGTGGGGCAGTCAGCTGCACCTACTTTCATGATTTCACCAGGTATGTGCTTGTGCTTATTCTCATTATTTCTCTCTACCAGGGTGTAGTCCTGAGAAGACTAAGGACAAACATCATGCCAGGTAAAGTACAGACCGTCACGCTGTACTTTGCAAGTTTATTCATACTCCTGCTCTCCTAGACAGCTCTTTCCCACCTTTACCTTCCTCCCACCTCCAACACCTTGTCTATGTTCATTCTCTGCTGATTGTCCTGTTTTTCTTCCAGATAATTCAAGCAATAAAATAGAACATCCACAAATTTCTATTCCATTATCTACCCAACTATTTGTGTCTGTATCCATGGACTCTGCTTATGAAAATTCTCCTGTTTTTATAAGTAAACTGTTCCTGCTCCTAATTAAGACCAACCTCTCCTCATTTTGCACTAGGTTCCATCTCCTCTTTCCTACTTGATATATTGCCCCACGTATTCTCCCCTTTTTTGCCCCTCACACCAATTTAAATCCTTTTCCATTGGATCATTCCCACCAATTTAATAAATGTTTGTTATTTTTCCTATCTTAAAAAATGAAACATCAGCCGGGCGCTGTGGCTCACACCTGTAATCCCAGCACTTTGGGCAGCCAAGGTGGGCGGATCACCTGAGGTCGGGATTTCGAGACCAGCCTGACCATCATAGAGAAACCCTGTCTCCACTAAAAATACAAAATTAGCCGGGCATGGTGGCACATGCCTGTAATCCCAGCTACTTGGGAGGCTGAGGCAGGAGAATCACTTGAATCTGGCAGGCGGAGGTTGTAGTGAGCTGAGATCACGCCATTGCACTCCAGCCTCGGCAACAAAGAGCTAAAAGCTCCATCTCCAAAAAAAAAAAGAAGTAACATAACTAGACAAACCCTCCCAACTTCAGCTTCCAACTAGCACTTCACTCCTTTGCTGCCCCTTTTAGGAGAACTCCTCAGAAACTAATCCCATATCCAATTTCTGGCAGGTGGAAAATGGCTGAAATCATGCTTCTCTGAAACGTGTGTGCTTTTTGTTATTATCTTTAGAAACCGTCACAGGCATGGGGGAAAAGTGCAGCTTGCCAGCCGATGAGGATTCTGTGTTAGAAAAACTAGAGGAAAAGAAACCATGCAACAGTCAACCTTCTGAGCTTTCTTCAGAGACCTCAGGTAAGTTAGGAAAACAAATTAGGGGCGATAGACTAGTGATGGTAGACATTGTCTCTAGTTTCCTGTTGTATGGTGGTAATCACAGTATAGTTTATGAAGTCAATTCTCTTAGACAGATTTTATCAGGTTTAGACAGAATGTCAGCTTGTTATATATTTAAAAATTATTACTACAGCAAATCAGGATCTAAATTTTTTTTTCTCCACTTTTTTTTTTTTTTTTTTTTTTGAGACAGAATCTCACTCTGTCGCCCAAGCTGGCGTGCAGTGGCGTGATCTTGGCTCACTGCAACCTCCACCTACTGGGTTCAAGTGATTCTCCTGCCTCAGCCTCCTGAGTAGCTGGGATTACAGGTGCCTGCCACCACGCCCAGCTAATTTTTAGCAGAGATGGGGTTTCACCATGTTAACCAGGCTGGTCTCGAACTCCTGACCTCTGGTGATCCGCCCACCTCGGCCTCCGAAAGTGTTGGGATTACAGGTGTGAGCCACCATGCCTGGCCTTCTCCACTGTTTTCATAGTGAAGAAAGGACACCCAAATTTTGATCTGGTTCAGCTGTTCACTATTCTATCCTGTGTGGTCTTAGGCAAGTTACAAAACTTGCCTATATCTCAGTTTACTCAGCATAACATAAATTAATTGGTCAAATGTCCTGTAAAGCCTTACTAGTTACAGTGTTCCGTGGCCCAACAGCGTCTGCATTGCCTGAGAGGCTGGTAGAAATGCAGAATCTTGGGCTCTACCTTAGGCCTTTGTAATTATCATCTGCATTTTAATTAGATCCCCAGATAATTCTGATTTTCATTAAACTTTGAGAGGCGCTGCTCTAAGATACTTTCCAATTTAAAGTTTGATTATTCAGTGAATTTTAAGATTAACTGTTTTTGATAACCCAGAAGCATATGTATATGGTTATCAGCTTGGTTTTCTGTTTACTTTTCTGTGTCTATGATTGGAATGTGGACATCCTGAGGGCAGGGGCCATGACTTATTTCACTTAGAATCTCTATTGCTTTGCACACTACGTAACACAAGACTGGAGCTTAAATGTTTGATTTTTTTTTTTTTATGTTGTTTTACTGACTCAACAAATCAGTAAAGATTTATCAAGTGCTTATGGTATACAGAATACACCATGTTAAGTCACATATTTAAGTCCCACTCCTTGCCCCTGAATTATTACATTATAACCTGAATAAAGAGATAAGTTCTCAGGCATGGACTCTGAAACCCAAGATTTACATAATAATTGAATAAAATAGTATAAAAGATGGCACTGAATAGCTGCTGATTAATTGCTGAATTAAATGTTATAAATACTGTGGGGTACTATAGCCTAGCAATTTTTTGAGCAATGCAATAATTAACCTGATATATTAAATAAAGGCTAGGATTTAGAAGATATTAGAGGGATAAGGACAAGAATGAAATGTACTATTTACATATTATAATATTCTTGGAAATCAGTTTATTGGGTCAGACTTGACAGGAGCTGGCATAGACCTGCTCTTAATGAGACTCTTGCCAGGATCTTAGATCCATATTATATGAACTTGGAGGAAGGTTAGACCAGATCACCTGCTGAAACTCTTCCAAAGATACTCACCTTAATTGTTAAAATTAATTATCCTACTTAACATTATATATATTTCTGTGTCTTTTGGGAAGTATATTTAGGAGCAGAATGTTGAAATTTAACATATTTGTCTTTCAAAGTAGGATGCTCTGGTTCTGGAATGATGAGAATTTTTCTCTGACCAAAAGGTGGATTCAATATATTTTGTCTGTGTGTGCGTGAAGTGACTTAAGTCTGGCCTTCTGATCTAGTTCCCAGAATCTATCTGGTTTTTTTGGACAAGTATTAGTTTAATATTGGTGACCAAGTCTTAGAATTATAAATTTTGTCCAAAATCATGTATATTTAACCAAAGCAATTAAAAAATTTCACCAAAAAGAGGCAAGCACTAATAATGATCAATATAAATCAGATGAGATTTACAGGCAGTAAGTGCTTATTTTAGAGGTTAAAATATTCGAAATATTTCATTTTTAAAAGTTAAATCCTGCTACTTCTGAAATGTCAATATTTTATAAATGTTTGAAAACAGTCTTTACCTGAGATGATGATCTGTTAAATATTTTTGCTAGTGCCAGTTAAAAGTGAGAAATGTTTTAGAAAAAAACTGTTTTCCTGAGCAAGTTATAGTAAGTAGTATATGGATTAGTGAAAATAGCCTCCTTAAATTAGTCATTATATGGTCTGGATTTTTTTTTTTTTTTTTAAGAAACAATAACAAAGAGTTTTTTGTTTGGAATTTTAGCCAACTTCATGTATTGCGGTACCCCTCCCACACAAGCCAAACAAGCTTGCAGACCCAGTGACCGCAGGTCAGCCCGGCCCAAGCCTGCCAGGGTCCCTCCTGAGCTGCTGGGAGGCTCTCCTCCATGGAAGACTCTTGATCACAGGCTGGGCCACTGCTCTTTGTCTGAGTCAGGTTGGGTCTCTAGTTCATCCTCCTGTGGTGGGCCTGGGAACCAAAGAAAAAGTATTCATGTTGACTCACTTGAACCCCAGAGGGATCTTGGCAGGGAGGCCTGGGATATAGAAAGCACACCAATAATGATGAAGAAAAAGAAGAAGAAACCAAAGCAAAAGAGATATTCTCAACCGCGGGCTGGAGGACCTTGGGATGATGACAATGCAGATAAACCTAAAGGTCATCCCTTTGCAGCTGACACACAAAAATCAGGTGTTCTCCCCAGCCAGCCTACCACTATGGGTACAGAATATGGACTTGTATCTGGAGAAAACTTGAAAAGGGAATGTGTAGTTAACTCCAGTGCAGCCAGATTAGTAACTGAGAACTTTGTCTCAGAGAGTCTCAGAATTCCTTTATATCCTTCAGAAGAAACCCCCAAAACTGCAGTAAGTTATCAGTCTAAGCTGAGAGTAGAGGAAGAGAGCAAAGGTAACAAGTCAGTACCAGAAGGCCAAGACAAGAAATTGCTGAAGCAACATGAACACAGACCACAGCCTGCACCCCACCTGAAGACTCCTATAGATAAAAGCCAGTCAGTAGGCCCTCTCAATCTGAAAGGACCCCTAGCAGACGTTTCTGTATACAATGCAGAAACTCCTTTGGATATCAGACTCAAAGAGGGTTGCTCTCCTATCTTGGACCAAGGGGTTATGGGTGTAGTTTCAAAACCCACAGCAGCAAAAGAAATACCAAATTTGATACCCACTTTGATAGCAAGTAATCCATTAGAATGTAATCTAAAAGAAGGGAATAATGAAAGTAAAATGACTAAACTGCAGAATGTCAAACTGAAGGAGTTTCCTGAAGGAGCTGAAGAGGATAAAGAACTAAAAAAGGAAGCTTTTCCCAACCAAAGACAAGAGATCAGCGTCTTTACTTCTGAGCAGCTGCAGGGCCAACTGTTGGTACAGGTCCCTGGGGTAGAGAATGAACCATTTAAGAGAATGGCAGGTGATGGCAAAAGCAGGAAGGGAAGGGGAAGTTCTGGGAAAATGAGAACAGACTCTGGGAAGGTAAAAGCAAAATCTGAGATGCCATTTCCTCTGGACAGTCAGAAGGACGGAAGGGCTGTTCTCATACCGAGTGAACCAGTCTCTAAAACTGAAGGAATGACTACTCAGGATAAGAGTGAGGAGCTGGGGCTGAATTCTTCAAAGCAACCAGGCACTAAGGCTGATCTCACGGAGGCACTGGTGATGGGGGAGCCTAAAGAGATGACTCAGCCTAAGATGGCAGGCACCATGCAGGCATTAATTCCTTTGGAAAGTGGATCAGGCATCACTCAGACTTCTGGTGTTAGGACAGAAACAGGAGATGTAGTCAAAGATATGGGTGTCAGTAACCAGAGCAAGGAAGGAAAGTGTCCATGGAAGGATCATGAGGCAGCTCCCTGGATCTCTGAAAAGCCTAAAAAGAGAGGCAATGAAGGCAAAAGCAAAAAGTTTAAAAATAGTTATTCCACACAGCCTGCTAGAATGGAGAGGAAGGAAGAAATCCTCAACCCACCTTTTGAAGGGAAGGTTGGAGATGCTGGTAGTATTCCCCATAAAAGCAAGGAAATTGGATTTACTGTCCCCAAAATGCATGATTCTTTGTTCTCACATACACCAGATACACCCACAGTGGAAGTAGTTGACAGGAAGGGTGGAAATTTTGAGGTTAATTTTGTTGAGCTTGGGACTCTTGGGGAAAACAAAATAAGCACAGTCAAGGCTTCTGCTGTTACTGAACAACCTGCCAAGGTGACAGATGTGAGCTGCCAAGAGCAAATCCAGGGGGCAGGATTTGTTCCTTCAGTAGTATCTGAGGAGAATAAGACAGATGCAGCCAATAGATACACTTCAGTGGCTGACAAACCAAGTAAAAGGATTAATGATGGAAAAAGTAAAAAGGTTAAAAATAGTTCTCCTGAGAAGCACATTCTGGAGAATAAGATAGATGCAACAAAAATACATGTTCCCATGGAAACCACAGGGGACCAGGGAATTGAAGGAATGGCCTATATGGACGAAAATAGAAATATTACATTTACCTGTCCCAGAACACCATCAGAGCTGATAAATAAATCATCTCCTCTAAAAGTTCTGGAATCAGCAGCCTGTGAAAAACTGCCCACTCCTACTCCTCAAGTAGTAAAGGAAGGTGATTCCTTTCCAGATACCTTGGCAAAAAATGGGCAAGAGATAGCCCCAGCCCAGATTTCCAAATCATTAATGGTAGATAACTACACCAAAGATGGAGTCCCAGATCAAGAAAGACCCAATGCTCCCTCTGCTGTTGTGCCCTCTACAAGCACAGGAGGAGTTGCTCTACCTATTACAGCAGCCATAGAAACAGTTAACAGTCATGGAGATCACTCTCTTAAAAATAAAGCTGAGCTTGCTGATTCCATGAAAAATGAAGCAGGGATTGCTGAAGGGCATGTGGTAGGAGAATCTGAGTCAGTGGACAATGGTGTGTCTAAGCATTCAGTAGAGAAAGTCACAGAGCTAGCAAAAGGTCACCTCCTTCCTGGAGTGCCAGTAGAAGACCAGAGCCTACCAGGAGAGGCCAGAGCCCTAGAAGCATATGCAGATAGAGGTAATTTCCTAGCACATCCAGTGAACGAAGAGAAAGAGACTAAAGAAGGGTCTGCTCCAGTTCAGATTCCTGACTTACTGGGAGACAAAGCACAAAAACTCAGTTTTTTTCAGGACCAAAATGCTCAAGATAGAAATTCGAAAGGTTCAGATAGTTTGAATAAGAAGGTAGATCTGACTCTTTTGTCTCCAAAAAGTGAAAATGATAAATTGAAAGAAATTAGTCTGGCTTGTAGAATCACGGAATTGGAAAGTGTTTCCTTGCCAACACCAGAAATCCAGTCAGATTTCTTACATAGCAAAGTCGAAGCTCCTCCTTCAGAGGTGGCGGATAAGTTAGTAATAATGACTGCTTCCAAGGATGTTCAACTCCCAGAACCCAAAGATAAGATTTTGGAGACACCTCAGAAAATGACAGAAAAATCTGAATCAAAGACACCAGGAGAAGGGAAAAAGGAAGATAAAAGCAGAATGGCAGAACCAATGAAAGGCTACATGAGACCCACCAAGTCCCGAGGACTTACTCCACTTTTGCCAAAGTCTACAATCCAGGAACAAGAGAGATACAAGCAACTGAAGTCCACTGGTATGAATCTGCCATGGGGAAATGTGTGTGCTTGTGGCTTTTGAGTCAGCATCAAAAAGGCAAAGAGCTTGTGCCTTGGCTCCATCCCGACTCTAATCATCCTTGTTAATCATTGGTTTGTTGGCATGAAACCTGTAACTGCTACTGCGTGTTTTCTGCAGCCAATGTGTTCCTTGTGTCCTGCTTGAGGAGGCTGGTAACTTGGTTGCATGCCTTTTTTACCCAGCACTGAACATTGAATTTTAGGGAAAGTTGAATTTTCAATGAATTGTCTAACAAAAGACCTATCGTCATCCATTTCTTAATTTTTTTAAAATTGTGCCTCCTATGTATCAAGTTTACAGCTAAATTTTAATCATTACTTGGTGTAAGGATTCACAGGAGGAAAGAAAGTATTTAATGTCTAGCTATGTGCATGAGATTTTTTTTCAGTGTATATGTAGCTTGTGCTGGTGGGACTAAATATCCAAATTGCTTTTAGGTTAAATGAAATCAGTCCACCTCCTTATGAGGAAATGGTGGCCTCGAACCAGCATTGGTAGGCACAGATTTATTTGTGTTTCTAGTAATGGGAAATGATCTCTCAATGATACAGATACATTTTTTGACCAGTTTGTTGCTTATATCCATTGCCCCACAGTTGCATGTGGGTTTGAGTTTTGGGCATAGTCTATGTCCATCAAACGTAGTCCATAAAACTTGCCCATGTTGTGTTCCTCTTAATTTTACTCTTTTTTGGCTCTACTCAGTCAAGTAGTTGGAATGAGATTAAGAAGATGATTCCTTTAAGATTTAGAAATGGTAGCCCCGTTTCCCCCCACCCCCAATTCCCCAAAAAAGTATACATTTAATTGTGGCTTCCCTGAATCTAGCTTTCAAAAAATGTTTCCTTGTCTTTGAGATTTTTCACAGCCTACAAGTGACACTATTTCTTAATCACTGTTTCCCAGCTTGCATGATGTAGCTACTAACTCCAGAATTAAAAAAAAAAACACCAATTGGTTTTAGTAGCCAGTCAGGCTTTTGGAGAGGTTTCATCATGGGATTGTGTTCTGCATGGTATGGACTTGTTCTTTTGGGTAAAGCTTGCTCTATGCATGAGTATGTACCCACTAAGGAGTACTGCTGTGTGAGTAAAGAATGCTAAAGGTTGTTATTTGCATAAGACATTCTCATCTTCTCTGTTTTTATCTTCTATTAGCTACCATATTACAAGGCAGAAAATGAAATAGTGTGTAGAGGGCTTTCCAGCATTCATTGAGATTTCCAGTGTTCTATCCATTTCTTTCGTTTTGGTTTCTAGACCCATTCTTTAGTTTCAGCAGTGATCCAAAAGTTAACATGTAATTTCTGTGAAATCCCAGCCGTCTCTTTTTGTTCAGTATTTGCAAAGAAATGAAGAAAGAGGATTTGTTGTTCTTGAGGAAGCAAGACCAGTACTGCAGAACTTTTGGGGCCCTGCCTGGGTCAGGTCAGGCTTAGAGACTGTGTTAGCAGTGGCCTTACAGAGTGAATATGGGAAGGATAATGGGTTTGGAACAAAATTTATTGTTTCTTCTGTAAATTCTACCACACCTTTTCCCTAAGGACAATGTATACTTTTTTAATAGTTAAAAAACTTTTTAAAACTAATTGTTGAATAGGTTAATACATTTCCTTGATACAAAGGAGTATACAGTAAAACATAAGCTGGCCTCCCTCCATTAACCACCTTCCAGCTTTCCTTCTCCAGAGGCTACCAGTGTTCACAATATCTTATATATCCTCCAGACAATTTGTGTATAATAAGCAATAACATATGTATTTCCTGATTTCATATAAATGAGACGTATACATACATACTGATGTGTGCTACTCTTTTTAAACTTAATTTTTAAAGAGCTCTTTTAAGACTCAGTATAAAGAAGCCAGGCACAGTGGCTCACACCTATAATCCCAGCACTTTGGGAGGCCGAGGCAGGCGGATCACCTGAGATCAGGAGTTCGAGACCAGCCTGACCAACATGGAGAAACCCCATCTCTACTAAAAATACAAAATTAGCTGGGCGTGGTGGCGCATGCCTGTAATCCCAGCTACTTGTGAGAATGAGGCAGGAGAATCACTTGAATCCGGGAGGCGGAGGTTGCAGTGAGCCGTAATCGTGCCATTGCACTCCAGCCTGGGCAACAAGAGCGAAACTCCATCTCAAAAAAAAAAAGAATCAATATAAAGAAAGAGGCCTCGTTTTTTTTTTTTTAATCTTTTTTCCTGGCAGATGTCTCTAGAGATGACTCATTCTTTTTTGATAGCTGTATACTATTTCATTACATAGGTATATACTAATTTATTATAGTAATTTTTTTTTTTTGAGATGGAGTTTCGCTCTGATTGCCCAGGATGGAGTGCAGTGGCGTGATCTCAGTTCACTGCAACCTCTGTCTCCCAGGTTCAAGCGATTTTCCTGCCTCAGCCTCACGAGTAGCTGGGATTACAGGCATGCACCACCATGCCCAGCTAATTTTGTATTTTTAATAGAGACGGGGTTTCTCCATGTTGGTCAGGCTGATCTCGAACTCCCAACCTCAGGTGATCCGCCCTCCTCAGACTCCCCAAAGTGTTGGAATTACAGGTGTTGAGCCACCGCGCCTGACCAGTGCTTTACTGATGCACATTTTAGGTGTTTCCCAACTTTTTTTCATTAGAAATATGGTACATAAACTATCTTTGTATTTATAGGATGTCATACTCATGCGTGTGTGTCTGTGTAATAAAAAGGGGCTCCAGAGTAAGAATCTCTGGTTTGGAGATATATATTCATAATTTTGATGGGTGTTTCCATATTGCTCTCTGTAGGCCTACAGAGATGTCCCTTGTAGAGAAAGGTACATCTCTACTCCTACCCTCAACATAGACAAGTACCTGTCTCCCTGCCTTTCTCTACTATTGTGATTTTTTTTTTGTTATGTATACTGATCTAATCGGTAAAATTATTTCACGGCATAGATTTTGTGTGTGTGGTGTTTTTTGTTTGTTTTTTTGAGACGGAGTTTCACTCTTGTTGCCAGGCTGGAGTGCAATGGCACAATCTTGGCTCACTACAACCTCCACCTCTCAGGTTCAAGCGATTCTCCTACTAGCCTCCCTAGTAGCCTCCCTAGTAGCTGAGTGTGCCTGCCACCACACACAGCTAATTTTTTGTATTTTTAGTAGAGCTGGGTTTCACTATGTTGGCCAGGCTGGCCTTGAACTCCCGACCTTAGGCAATCCACTTGCCTCAGCCTCCCAAAGTGCTGGGATTACAGGCATGAACTACCGTGCCCGGCTGTGTTTAATTCTTTTTTTTTTTAATGACTTCTTCGTGTATTATCAAGTTTATAAAAGCCAATCCATGCTCTGAAATTACGAAAATATTTTCTCTTCTCTTCTATTAATGTTTTTACATTTTAAATTGTTGGCCAATCTAGAATTTGCTTATTTGTTTGTGGGTTTTGGGGATTTTTTTGTTTGTTTTGTTTTTTTGTTTGTTTTTTGTTTTGGTATGTTTTGTTTATAAGGTTGTGAGGCAGGGTTACTTGATCATCCCACCATCATGTTTATAATCGATCTCCCACTGAAATGCCACCTTTGTCATGCCCTAAATTTCTGCATGTATTTGGTATATTTCTGGACTTTCTTTCCTGATCCATTGATCTTTCCACCAGGTTTCCTAATATATTTTAATATCTGATAGGGCTAGCCCAACCCCTTGCCCTATTACTCTTTTTCAGAGTTGTCCTATTCTTATTTATTGTATAGTTTTGTAGAAGAAAAATTAATCCACTCAATATTTTTCTTTTTTTTTTTTTTTTTTTGAGACGGAGTCTCGCTCTGCCGCCCAGGCTGGAGTGCAGTGGCCGGATCTCGGCTCACTGCAAGCTCCGCCTCACGGGTTTTCCTGCGATTCTCCTGCCTCAGCCTCCCGAGTAGCTGGGACTACAGGCTCCTGCCACCACGCCCGGCTAATTTTTTTTTTGTATTTTTTATTAGAGACGGGGTTTCACCGTGTCAGCCAGGATGGTCTCGATCTCCTGACCTTGTGATCTGCCCATCTTGGCCTCCCAAAGTGCTGGGATTACAGGCTTGAGCCACCGCGCCTGGCCTCAGTATTTTTCTTGAAGTCACTGTTTCTAGCTTATCCCAGGGAGAGTTTATGTCTTGCATATTGAGTTTTTCTATCAAACAGCATAATGTGTCTTTCATGTGTTTTGTTAGTCCATCACTGGTGCTTATCTTTGTTCCTCACTTTGAATTATTCATGTTAACTGCCCTGCCCCCAAATTGCTACCAATTCTCACTTATCTTGTTCTCATTCATCTTGTGGTCAAATGGTGTCACCCATGGTTTCCATTGTTTGGGCAGTAAAGATATTACAAGTGGTGTTGGCCCGGCACAGTGGCTCACACCTGTAGTCCCAGCACTTTGGGAGGCTGAGGTAGGCGGATCACTTGAGACAGGAGTTCAAGACCAGCCTGGCCAACATGGTGAAACCCCATCTCTACTAAAAATACAAACATTACTGGGTATGGTGGTGCACGCCTGTAATCCCAGCTACTTAGGAGGCTCAGGAGAATTGCTTGAACCTAGGAGGCAGAGGTT